TGTTCATTAAACTGTCTAAATAGTTATATTAGGGTAAGTATGACTTTTAATTCGATGACGAGGAACCCACTTTGAGACTAATAATGGCTGGAGACGGCCTGATGATGACAAAACCTTGTCGAAACGTTGTACATTTGCTGTCATGTTAAACTTATATTAAAGTTTTTTTTTTTTTTCATTACCCATTTAAGCCGTCTCCAGCCATTATAAGTATGACTTTTGTTGATGAAATTTCTTATGGTTGTTCACGAACTGTTTTGGATTACCAAGTTACTGATAGCTTCTAGAAAGATTTACCTTCTACATATTTGGATTTTATCAACATCTAAAAACATCATTTCGGACAAGTCAAACTAACATCAGTTACTTAGTTGATCAAATATTTTCAAAATGTCCAACATATATGTTGATGTGATCTAAGATGGTTCTATAATCTATAACGTTGTGAAGAATTTTTATTTACAATAGACCTGATGTGCTTTGTCTGCCACAGGGATTATGTTCTGAATTGCAGAGCTACAAACATCCAAGCTAAACACTAATCCACTGTGGACACATAAATACTATTTTTGTCAATATCTTTTCAATTCTACTCAATAACCCTTCATTTACCCTATTTTACTTAATATCAAGAAGCAAGTTCAGTAAGAGCAATTATACACATAGAAACTTAATAAAGTTCTTATTTGAAATTTTTCAGTCACAGACCTTATCATGACTACTGGAAGAATGCTGATGAAGAAAGATTGAAAGATGAGATGGTAGACATGCGTTTTATGTTGGCTAAGTATGCACTTATAGAAGAGAATCAAATAACTGGAACACGAGCACCTTTCTTACAAACGAGTGGTGATAACTTTTTCAGCACTTTATCAACTAATAAGTTCAAATGGGACTCATCTATGCCAACTCGAACACATTCTGGGGATGAAAACGTCCAGAAAATGTATCCCTACACGCTGGACTACGGGTACAAGCAAGATTGTGTAATCCCACCTTGTCCTAAAGAGCAGTACAAAGGTTTTTGGGTAGTCCCGATGGTTATGCAGTATGTAAGCATGGAGTTGGAAGATGGTTCCATAATAGAAGTGCCTTGCTCTATGCTCGATGCATGCTCTCCGCAGCCCGAGACTAAAGAAGATACTGTAACTTTCCTGAAAAAGAATTTCAACTACCACTACAATTCTAATCGTGCGCCTTTTCCGATCTTTTTACACGAGACGTGGCTAAAAGATGAAAATCGAAAACAAGGCTATCTTGAGTTTGTCGACTGGGCCTTAACCAAAAATGATGTTTTCATAGTTACTATTTCAGAAATGTTAGACTATTTCAAAGATCCCAAACCATTGTCGTCGTACTCACAAAAGAAATGTGTAAAGACTCCTCCTTCCAGCAAGTGCACTTCTAAAAGTTTTTGCCAGTATAAGAAAGAGGACACCCCATTTGAAGGTCCACGGATTATGTCAACTTGTACTCCCTGTCCAGAGGTTTACCCGTGGCTAAAAAATCCAAATGGAGAACGCTCCACATTTAAGTAATTTATTTTGGGTATTGTAGGTGTAAGTTTGAAAAATAAAAATAAATCTTTGTTTTTTAATCCTTAGATTATATAAAATTTTGGCCCTGCTCTAAATTACAAAAAAAATTGTTTTGAAAATTAGACATTTGATTTTTAAAATGAACGGAAATTTTTGCTTTTCATTTAATCTAAATAATTCTTGGTTACTTGTACAACCAAACAAACAGAGAAAATTAAATAAAATCTGATGGTTCTACACGAAAAAAAAAGGTTTTTGTTTCAACTACATTACAATTCATTTCTGTCAACTTAAACCTGAATGTAAAAGTTTAAGAAATCACTTTTCAAAATTATATTTTCTACTGATCTCAACAGCTTGGAAAACTTATAAAAAAATACTAATTTTTGTAAATGTTATCTATAGTAAAAATGGAAAAACATAGACACAAAAACCATATCTGAATTTCCAGTATCTTGCAGGACGTTTAGCTAAACTTCCATGTTAGGGTTAGAGACCCTAAGGATCAGACACAGAACATAAATGAATGGCAATATTGAATGCCACTTTCACAACATGCTCACAGATGAAGGTACCGAGTTATCATAGCTCAAACCTTGGACCTTCCTATCACTTCTAAAAATCATTAGCCTCTACTTGTAAGCCATGCTAAATGAAGTTTTAGCCCAGTGTTCTGAAAATACCAATTTTTATGATAAGAACATCAGCTATAGACAAATTAGCTTATAATAATTATGTAATAATGCATCAGTCACATTTCTAGTGTTCAATGTTAATTATAGTTAGTGTAAGAACAGTATTACCACTAATGTTAGAATTAGCTTGTGTTTATTTTTTAATTATTGTACATTAAATTGTAAGAAAAGTACAAAATTAACAATTAATTAATTATACAGCTAACCTTAGAACTAATCTTATACTTAACCTTAGAGTTAACCACAGAGCTAACTTTAGAATTAACTTGAGTTTAGTTTTAGAACACATACAGAGTATCTTGTCTGATACAGACCTATCATTTGGAAAGATTAGTGCATGTGATAAACCAGGACTGATCTATTGGTAAGATCAGTCCAAGTGATCGACCGGGAAAGGAGTCTCTACCAAATAAACTGGATTTATGATAACAAGAAAGATTAATGATTGTCTTTGTGAAATTCACTAACATCCATTAAAACCATTATTCAAGTCATAATGGAATGATGAGTATATTAAACAACATTCATGATCACATTATCATTCTGTATTTTAGCTGCTACTGGACTCAAATAACCATTGTGAACATTTTATTCTGTGTGTATTTAATTGAAAGATAATTATAACGGTGTAAAGAAAACTCGATGACCAAATAAAACGTTTGTGTTTATTTTTCATTTATGCGATGATATGAAAGAAATAAAAGAAACAGAAATGACAAGGAAAATAACAGTTAACCAACGAATGTCTTTTCATCTTTAAAAAAAAAAATACACTAAATTGATACAAAATATTATACAATTTCAGTATCTACAAGTTCCGAGATATAATGAAACATTTCTGAAAAATAAAATCTTTTAACACAGTCTTAACCATAAAACTTTACGAGGAAGCTGACAAGAACCTGTACATGTAATGACTTGATCTTCACCGATAAAGTTATTCTGGATACATCTTGGAGTTATTTTAATGAAGACTTGGAAAGGGTTTTAGGAATTGACTGACAAATGCAACCATTTCAAAACTCGTTGGTTTCTTGCATTAAAACAACTACCGTGTCATAGTTTCTTTGTTTCACAAATTCTTTTTACAGATTTCTAACTAAAGATGGACTCTGTAGCTTTTTCCAAGTCCCAGTTGTATGAAGATAAGGCCACTCGAGCTCTGTGCTAGATAAGAGAAGTCACTGGTCAGTATCATATCGAGTGAATATACTCATTAATACCACAAGATAGATCACGTTTCCTCAAGTTTTCCTCCTCTGTATCAAACCCGTAGTTAATCTTTATAAAAATATTATAGATTTTATAACTCATGGAAGAGAAATAATTAGTTAATAGAAGCATGTGAAACAAAAACTAGACATTTCTTAATATACATCTCAACACAGGGTACTTGTTAATATACATCTCAACACGGGGTACTTGTTAATATACATCTTAACACAGGGTACTTGTTAATATACATCTCAACACAGGGTACTTGTTAATATACATCTCAACACAGGGTACTTGTTAATATACATCTCAA